GGTCGGTGGGTGATTTCTACAAAAATCATAGTTGTAATCTTGAAAAAGAATCAAGCTGTGTCAACAGCTGAAGATGAAACAACAGCATACTTCAGCAGGATCGAGATGATCGATTGGGCTGCCAATAAAAACGACGATTCGCATCTTATGATTTCTGTTCTGCCGATGCTTGAGCGCCAAATGTGCCACTTTAATTGCATTGATAAAATTTGACTGCCCCTAAAAATAACTATTAGCAGATGAGCTTTTTTAGAATATGTCTGTTTTAAGGAATATATTGGATGGCGCTTCGACCAGTGAAGTAGCAGCACGAAACTCTTCCCCTGTTGCAAAAGTCATCTTTGGTCTGGGGACAACGAAGGTTGTGTTCTGTCGAAACAGAAAAATTTTCGGCTGCGCCACCTGATAAAGTGAAGCTCTCGAAACAACCAGGTTCACTTTGGAGGAGCTCAAAGTACAGTGTTCAAGCCCACTGGGATGGATTCTGTGTCAATGACCGGATCTTTACTGCTTTTCACTACTTTTAGGGTTGGCTGACAGCCACTTCATACGCACTGCCTCGCACTCAAACAAATCCGATTGACAAGGCAGGCGATATACCAGCCAAATGTGGATTTCTGTCCAGTAACAGATGTTAAAAATTCAACCCAGGCTGCAAGGCATCAGGCTTGCCGGTGTGATCATGCGTTTTGCACCATACTTACAGATCGCTAGCAGCAGGAATGGTCCCTACACTGTAGTTTAGCAACTGGACTCATATTGGCTCTGTTTTGCCTCTTTCCGTAAATAAGGTGAAAGGAGTCGGCTGGGATGAAGGTGTTGCATTATGGGCCGGACAGACTTCCAATGTGCATGATCACGAGTCTTTTGCGTGAAACCTGGTCGTTTTTCTAGTGGGTACTCGCTCACTAAAAAAAAATGCAGGAAATCGAAAGAGGGTTATGAAAACTGCAAAATGCACTCGCTTTTGTGTTTGCGATAAAACTTAGTACTTGTCATATCTGAGTGCAGTGCTACTTCATCTCCAAACTGAATTAAGACCATATGTAAGTATAGAATACCACTGTAAAGTTTCAGCTTCGCAGCTTGCCTGATAAGCAAATAGCTACTTCGTCACAAATATCTCTGGAGTGCCTCAAGTCGTGGCGCAAAGTGCAAATCGAAATACAATTTCGATATACGATTTTCCATGCGCTGCTTAGCACTGGGCGCTAGGTAACCTAAACTAACCATGATGATAGGCTTACCTTGGGCTCTACCTGATGCAGCTTCATGAACAGTTTGCCGTTCTCGTGCGTCAACGTCGTTAGTACCTCCACCGTGCTATAATATTGATGATTTAATGATTTGTGATTTAATTTAATATATAACACACATTCATTCTTCCATAATATATATAAATACAATTAAATTTTAAATTCTCCCAATACTTCAAAAACTTGCAAAAAAACTCCATATTGCACACTTGCATTAAAACCATAAACTCCAAGTGCTTAATAATTGCAACTCCAGCCCATCCTCGTCCTTTCCTATGGGGTTTTAGACAGATTGATGAGGATCCCGCACACACCGAAGTCAGTAGAAGATCCCTCTGAAGCAATAACCGGAATGGCATGGTCACTAGCGCTGTTAAGGATACTAAATCATTGGCGACGCGCGCTGGCGGGCCCGTGCAATCATGCGTTTTTGCAGTGTTTCGTGCTATAATAAGATCACTCGAAAATTCCGCTAGCTAGAAACCTCTTGTACATACTGCCCTCGAAATTCGGGAAGTTAATTATCCACGCTATACTTGGACAGGGAACATTCCCTTGAAATCCCAGTTTCCTAGCTTTCTCAGTTCCCGAGTTACCCAAATTGCAGCAAGAAAATTTCATGGGGCCGTACGTAGCAACCACGCATGAGAGAGCAGGGGGAGGGGCTGAATTTGACAAAATTTAAGTTGTAGACGAGTTGGGAACATTTCCTGAAAGTTTCAGCCTCCCAGCTTCCCTGGTTCCAGAGTTAGCTATTTTCCCGCCAAA